AGGAATCAAAAAATGAGTTGTGCAGCAGCAATGTAAAGATAAGCACTGAGAGGTGGGTCATGAATTGTTCTTGGTTTGGAATTCTAGATGCTGGATAAGATTTTTTTCATGATTGAAAGGTTGTCCGTGACTTAGGAAAACTGATGGTATTAAAAGTCTGCTGGGTGGCACTCCTGTGCTGGAGGGTAGGGCTGCCTTTCAGAGGGACCTGGAAAAGTGAGAAGAATGAGCTGAAGACCTCCTGAAGTTGAACAAAGACCAAAGCAGCTTTGGTCTGCAGTTGCAGACTGTCAAGTTTGAGTCAGCAGTGCTCCCATATGGTGAAGAAGGGAAACCACATCTTGGGGCTGCATTAGCAAGAGTGCAGGCAGCAGATGGAGGGAAGTATTGATTCTTCTCAGTTTGGTGCTTGTGAGGTTACAAGTGGAAAGGTATCTCCAGCTGTGGACATTGTAGCGCAAGAAAGAGATTGGCAGACTGGGGAAAGCCCACCAGATGACCATGGAGATGGTGAAGGGGAGCTGGTGGAGCACCTGCTGTGTGGGGAGGGCTGAGGGAACTGGGTTTGGTCAGCCCAGAGAAGGGAAGGTTGGGGAAGTGGGGAACCTCCCTGCAGTTCTTGGTAATCTGGTGGTGGGTTGCGGAGAAGACAGAGTCAAAATCTTTGCAGAGGTGCGTTTTGAAAGGGCAAGAGCTAGCAGTTGCAGTGAGGGGAATTCTCAGTGGGTGTAAGAAAAAGTTTCTTACAGTGAGAGTAGTATTGGAACAACGTTGGAGACATGGTACAGTCTCCTTTCTTGGAGATTTAAAACAAACAAAAAAAAAAACCCAAACCCAGCAACAAAGCTGGACTGGATAAGACCCCGAGCTGATTTTGAAGTTAGCCCTGCTTTGAACAGAGGTTTGTACTGCAGACCTCCAGAGATCCCTTCCAACCGAAATCATTCTGTGACTGTGGAAACAAAGTAAGTGCATCTGTAGATCAACAAAGTTGCTAAGTTTCTTTTTGTTCTTTCGACAGCACTTTTTGGATAGAAATGCAAATGGTGCTCACGCAGTTTCTGCCTCTCAGTTAAGGATGATTATAATGTGAAAGCTACTGTAAGACATTTTTTTCTGTGTAGTAAACAGGAAGAACTGATTTCATTTTTCTTTTCTTTTTTTCCTTGAATTGTATCAGAAATAGCTTCTGGAAAGCTACTTGTTTCAAAATAAAACATAATGAATGTAAAATACTGATTCAAGGGCTTCAAGATTTTGATTATTATTCTTATGTTAAAGGCCGGTACATCTTGACAAACAAGCTGTGAAGAATTCTGCATCAAGCTACTGTCAAAAAATACTGCAGAGAGCGATTGAAGCAGAATTGCAGATTCTAAACGCTCATTATCAGATGTGCTATCAGCACTGCTTGAAGATTTACAAACTGGCTTTGGAGGAAAAGACATGTTTTAGCAGGCATGTACTTTAATGTCCTTTTAAATGAAATGGATAACTTGGTTAAAAGGCATTAATTGCTAAATGTTACTGATGTATTCTATCCATAGCTTGTAACAGTGTTTATAGTTAGCATCGTTGTCCAAAAGAGTTTATGTTCTCATAACTGCAAAGTCTTATTTTCAGCCTAAAACTTTCTGTAGCATTCACAGACCCAGCAAAATACAGTTTGTTTCCAGGAATGTCTTTCTGTACAGGAGGAAAAGTACAGAAGGAATAGGAATACAGAGAATCCATTCAGGAGTGGGCGAGGTGCATAGAGGGGGAGCTGGGGAGGAGGCAGTTAAGGAGAAAGAGAGGAGGTGCAGGATTGTTAAGAGGTGAGGCAGGAAGGGGGTGGCGATGGCAGAGTCTCTAGCTGATAAAGCATATGCCCTGTAACGAACCTGGAATTCAGCCAAGAAGTCCTGCCTCTGAACGCTTTACTGTGCCACGGATAGCTATAAAACCTCATTACCGTAGTGCCTGCTCCATAGCTTAGCAGGGGGCTCAAGAGAGCACCTAGTAATGCCGTGAAGCAGAGTATGGCTCCAGAGAGCTCCTGTTCCTGCGCAGTGTGGAGGAATCTCTAAACACTGTAAAATGTTTGGGCAATTCTGGAAGCAGTAAAATAAATGTCTAAGTTGATCTTATTTTCTTATACGTATTTTAACAGATATAATGGAAATACTGAATTAGGTTCATCTCTCATGTTGGTTTTGGAAAAGCTAAAAAAGAATTACAACGGTATGAGAATGAAAATAAAAATGGGCATACCTTTAAACGCACTTCCACCGCTATCAGTTGAGATGAAGTTGTTCCCAATCTCTTCTTCTTATGTTCCGTGCAAGGTAATTTCTTAATGGCTTTTTGGTTTTAATATAAATTGTTTTCTTCAGAAAATTAAAACAAATCTTTTCCTTTTTGACAGTTGTTCAGAGAGGATCTTTGCTACGAGTAAGTAGTCCTCATTTGTGGTATTTATTAAAGTTCAAAATAAATGAGAAGTGAGTTTAAAAGATGTTAAATTTAGAATTTCTTTATTTCAGGATGTATCTTGTTGCTCCAAACTGTTTATCTGAAAGACTAGCATAGCACTTTGGTACAGTGATTTTATTTTAAGGAAATTTTTTACCCTGTAGTGTTCTAATATGCAAACTCTGGAGTTGTATTTTTACTATCTTTATAGCAAAGGTTTTCAATTTACAGGTAATTTTCCTGGTTCCCTACTTTCACTACTAAAATCTTTGTCTCTAATCTTAATGCTGTCGGTCTTAAAAAAAAAAAAAAAACCAAACAAAAAAACCACACAAAACAAACAAACAAACCCCACCAAACAAAAAAACCACAAAAACAAAAAAACGCAGACAAACAAAAAAAGAACCATAAAAAACCCACCAAGACAAAATGACTTTGCTGCCAACAAAGATAATATTAGGTATATAAGCAGCTGTTCTGCCAAGATTATCATTCAGTTAAGAAGAATGATAGAAAAGTAACTTCATATTTCAGGCAGACGTATGGTACTGCATGATCAAGAATCATGTCCAGTTACTTTATGTAAGCAGAGATTAAAACAAATTTGGCAATAAGTTTTTACTGCATCAGGTAAACAACTAGAGATCTTTTTCAAATTTCTTGTTAAGAAGCATTAGTAAAATTAATCAAAAATTGCACAGAGATTTCAAATTGTAAAGACATACACTGAAACATCACACAGAAAGCCATCTAGGTATAAAGGAAAAACAGCCTAACATAAACCTAGAACATAGCTTTATGTTTCAGGTTGCAACCACTGCTTTTACAAAATACAGACATCAAAAAACTTAGGTTCTCATTTTAAGCTAAGATTTATTAAGCACATTTTATTTATTTTACTGTGAGCTTTTGGAAATATTTAAATTAATATTTCAGAGTACTTGGTATCGTTGCAGAATTTAAAATTGTTGGGCCATATTTTGTACGAAATTCTTTGATCTGTTTTAGTTCTGTTTCAGGCACAAGAAAAGCTAACTTTGAAGCACCAAAACTGCAAGAAAGGGAGATTTCTGTCAACATGGTAGGGACTTCTTCATTACTGACTTTCACAAACATTGACGTTGTGAAGCATAGTCTCCTCTTAGGTATATGCAAATACAATCAGTCTTCAGGGCTCAAGCTAGAATACTCTGCCAGTAATCGTAAATGCAACTGATGTGACCAGAACTTTGATCGTGGTTTTGAAATAAAATAACTTGGGGGTTCTTGAAGATGATCAGTAGATTAACTTCTAAAATTTACCTGTTTAATCAATTAATATTCTGAAGCTCAGAAAAATAATGTATAATCAGGTGCAAGTGTAACAGAACATAACGGAAACATTTTTGTAGGACAATCCGCAGACTGTATGTTTAACTGATGGCAGTCAGCAAAATGACTCTAATTCCTCCAAGACATTTGAAGAACAACATAAAAATCAGGATGTGGAACGTGGTAAGCAATCTGCTTCTGGTACAAATACTACAGTATTTGTTAGTTAAGTTGTTGGGGGGAAAAAAAACCAAACCCTGTGTAAAACATACATATGGATATTCAACTGTCCTTTCTGTGATGGAATGCTCAACATTATATCAGCTCTATATTATACTTTGTCATGAAAAAAATTTTGCTACTTAAATCAGAAGAGAAAACTAGTATGTGTCATCTCTTTGTAATGTAGTACCAAGTCATGTAGGTAGCTGGAATCCTCTTAAGCCCACAGAAGTTTGATATTCATTCATGTGACATGCCACGGTCTGAATTTTAACACACTGAAACTTATTTTAACTGTCAAGGCTGTGTGAAAAATGAAGAAGGGAATGAATATTGGTTTGATGCTACGGAGGACTTGACAGTAGCAGATGTTTCAGTAGTATCTGAAGAAACAAAAAAGCAACAAGAGAAACAAGACACAGTTGATTTAAGAGGTGAGATCGTGTGCTTTAAGCTACCATATGTAATAATGGTGTTTGTTTATTATTTGAATATTCTGTTCCTCTACAAGCACAAGTAAACTTGGAAAAAATACTAGCTGGGTTTTCAGACTTATTTTTCCATTGACTTGCGGTGAGTGCTTGTACAGATATTCAGCTCTTTTCATCCACGTTTTTCCTTGAAAACTTTACCTACAGTGGTTAAACTCAATTTAGTAAATGTCCAGCCAATCATGTAGCTGGAAATCTCCCTTTTTTTTCCTCTTCCTCCTCTTTCTGCTTCCTTCCCCATACTGGCTTCTTAAGAGTTAGCTGGGAACGGTCTGTATTTGGAGACTTTGTGTCCAGTGACGGTCATGGTTAGAAGTCCCAGGGTGTTGAAAGCAGAGAGCTTGTGTGCTCCATGGTGGGGACTCACAGAACACTACCCATGTAGTACTGGTACCTGTTAGTTCAGACCAGTGTTTTCTCTGGTTGTACCCCTTCTGCCTCTTCAACCCTTGGGAAATACTCAGGGAAAAAGAGATTTCACAAACTGAACTGTTCTGCTTCTCATGACGCTCTCATTTCCTGTTAGAAGATACTCTTCATTCTTTTAGGTTTTGTAAAGGTTTTCTATCTATGCTTTCCAAAATCTACAGAGAAGATGTTAGCTTGAACTGAGACAGGAATAGTTAGTAACACTTTGCTTTCTTATGTTTATTATTAGAAGCGAAGAAAATGGAGAGTGGAAATGAGCGTTCTTTTATTCGTGTTGGTGGCCTAAGTTCCTCAGTGTCAGAGGTATGGCTGTTCTTATTTACATAGTAGTAGTAATGTCTTGCCTCTTTTCTGAATGCTTTCACACCATCCATTTGTAACCAAATTGCTTCTATTTTGTAGGGTGATTTAAGATCACATTTCCAGAAGTATCAGATTTCTGACACTCTTTTCTCTGTGGATTCTAGTAACTACAGGTATATTAATACAAGTTTTACTTGTTTCAGGTTTTTTTTTCTGTCAAAGTAAGCAAATCATGGGAGAGAGGAGGGAGTTCATTAATTTGTTTCAGTAATCAATGTAGATGCAGATAGGTTGACAAAAACTTGTCATTCCAGACAGCTTCTCCTGTTATGAGAAGTTAAGGAGTCTGAAATTGTCTGTTGAGTTTAATGGAGATACAGTTAATATTCAAAAGATGAGAGCCATCATGTGTTCTTACTGATAGTAATTTAATGTGTGTTTTACTTAGTTTCCTTTTTTTTTTTTTTTTTTTAATTTTATGCCTTAGATATGCATTTCTTTCCTTTAAAGACACTAATAAAGCAAAGTTAGCTGTAGAGGAAATGAACCAGAAAAAAATAAAAGGAAAACCAGTAAGTGTTGAACTTGTAAATACTTCATCAGACAATAAATATTTGGTTTCCCAAGTGCTTACAAATACACTTTGGCATGAAATCCAACCTGTTAATAACGGTCAAAGAAATGATCAAGATAAAACACTCACTTCAGCCTCCAATTCTGTGAAAGCACCTGATGCTACCTCTGCTTCTGAGAAAATGCATCTCCTTCCCATAACTTCTTCAAAAATTTCTTGCTCTACACAAGTACCTTCAGAAACAAAGCGCCCTGGTCTGAAATCATCTACTGAAGATTCGGTACATTATTTGCTTGGAGTTAATCAAAAGGTAAACAATTATTACTAAGGCTCCTTTATATGGCAGATTAAGAGCCTTAAAACTTTTGTCCCATAACATGTTACATTTAATATATATAGAATGATGTTAGGATAGGAAAACATGTTATGTGTCAGTAATAAATTTCTGGCATGCTGCAAAAGAGTGAGAGCACCATTCATTTGCCCCTGCATCAATTGTGATACTCCATTTTGTTTTTTCTTAATCCTAAACCAGTTGGAACCTAGCCATTTGCACTAGATTTTTCATCTTCTCCTCTTTTGAGTTTCTACTTGTAATACCTTTTTTTATGTGAATGTCTTGTGACTTTACACAGGAAATATTTTGGGATACTGGAGGGGAAACTTGGGGTTTTTAATGTAAATCTAAGAAAAATCTATGTATAAATACAGTATTTTGTATTCGCTCAGGTTGGTCCTTGGAGGATAAGGCAAAGGTAGTAATTGCTGGTGTTGCTCTCATAAACTATACAGATATGCTACCTTTGGGGATTTAACTTTAAACATGCTAGTCCTCTGGGAAATACAAATTGGATCTATTTTTTGGAATGTCAGTTACACATGAATGCATGTAGTAGTTTTGTTTCTAACTTACAGATTGCAGAATATGACTGGTTGTATTAGAATAACTTACTGATTTGAATCTGTATCTGTCATTTTTTCTTTTTCCATAACAGGAATATTTATTAGTAGTAAAGATACGTTATATTACTTGTACAATACTTAACCCATTCAATTTTTGCTTATTTTGATGCAATTCTAGGATACTGGAGAAAATTTCCTGCAGAAAACATCTGCTCCTTTCTCCACTAATTTGTATGATGCCTTTATTTCTCCTAATACGTTGAACTTGAGCAGCTTTACCAAATTACTGAAAAAACTTCAAGAAATTCATCCAGAGGCTAGCAGGTGAGAGTATTTGGATTTAATTTCTGCCCTGATTTGTAATGGATCCAATATCCCTGGTGACTAAGCGCTAAATATATTGCACAGAACGTGATGTAAACAGTTATTTCTTCTATTCATATAGAGACAAAATTGTGGATGCTCTGCTGGAGGTGAGGAAGAACAACAAAGGTGTCCTAAGTGGCTTGTCCATCAATTCTATTGTGGAAAGGACCTCTGTCATTCTAAGGAAATCGACGCCCAGTTGTGGGTGGGGAAAGCAATGTAAATAAGTGAGTATTCTAGCTTACAGAACTATATTGAAATAAAAACACTTGAATTTGTGTAGCTGTAGAGCCTGACTAGATTAGTAAGTAACTTAGTATAAAGCTCTGCAAGAAGTACCTGAACAAATCCACTGAAACAATGGTTTCTAAGGATTGTTAGCTGTTTTGCAGAACATCTGTAAACAGATTGGCTTGCTAGTTCTGTGCACTCTATAAAACTTGGTATACTGGGGGTTTTATTATGCAAACTGTTTTATTGATTAGCTTAGTGAAGAACGTCGTCATACATATTCTGTACAAAGGTGACATCTAATGGCCAATCCTTGTGTAGCATTTCATAAAGAAATCCCAGCATAGGCTCAGTTTTGGTTTAAAAATTCATGATTTCTATCCTATGCATAAGGTTCGGTTCTGGACTAGAAATCTAACAGAGTAAGACTGTATGTCTTTTAGTTTTTTTCACGTTAAAGGACATCTTGCATGATGACACAGCACTGGACACTGCAGGAAGCTGCAGCAAGCTGAACATGCTAAAACCACAGCCCAGAATTCCAGGGATGGTTATATATATATTCTCCTGTAGGAGACATCCTTCAGTTGGCGCTTGTTTCGGTCTCCTACTAAGCTTGGTATTCTGCTTATTTTAGCGCTGCTAGCAGTGCCACTACCAGGTTTCCCGCACTGTCCAGTGCACTGCTCCAGCTTCGCTTTTGCCCACAAACGCAGTCTGTACGATATTTATCCTTCTGTAGTGTTTCTTCCCGAAACTGCACCAAATTCTTAATGCTCTGATTTTGGTCTCAAAGCTTCTGTTTCAAGGATGTCAAGGAGTCAGTTTGGTTTTAATCGATACCCCCTCTTCCAAGATGAGTAGTATTTATGCCGATAGTTTTACATATGCAAGTATCTTTCCCACCCATTGAATGTTGCTTATCAGACTAAATTCTCCTGGTCAGATGCCCATGCACGTGTTACTGTAGCGCACGAGTAAACCGTAACACAGCCTTCACTTGAAGAGAACTGCTGTGCCTTACATGCTAAACTCTAATAGCAGTAGAGTGATTCTGCAGAGTAAGGCGAAGCAGAAGCCTGGGCTAGAAAAGCTTCCATAGATGCATTAAATACACAAATAGATGCTTATAGGTCATTCGTCTCAGTCCTTGTTCTGGGAAGTAATATCAGTGATCAGAAAAGTCCTTCAGAAAGACTGATTGTAAGTTGTGTTAAATACACAGAGACATAGGGTAGGATTTTGCATACAGCATAAGATTATACCTCCCATAGTGATGAAGAGCGTGAGAGAATCACAACCAATATGCATGTTTGGCTGAGTTCCTTTTGAAAGGATTAATGTAACATAAGTTTGTTAGTTTGGCATTTGACTGTCCTGTGAGCTTTTAGAGATGCATCTATAAATCAAAATAAAATTTAAAAAAGAAAAGTCTTCATATTAATCTACTGACTTGACTTCCACAGGACTGCAGATATGGACATAAACTCATAAAAAAAAACTTACACTAGAAAGTATTTTCAATTAGTAGGGTTTTAACAGCCTCAAATGTGTTGTCAAGTGACTCTTTTTTTGTGGCTTTACAGTCATAATTGTTCCTATGGTAGTATTTTTTTTCTGTTGCTTTGCTAAAGAGATGATGGCCTATAACAATTTTTACTTTCATCATGAGGGAGCTGTGAAATAGCCAAGTCATTAGTGAGTAATGGGGAGAAAGAATTCTCATCTTTTCATAGTAAGAAACAGGTATGTAATATGTTTAAGAGAAGATGATTCTGCTCAAAGCTCCTCTATACTAATTCTGGTATGTGTATAGCTTAAGAATTTCCTGAAGGGTAAGTGTCCACTGAGAAATACCACCTCAGAGCCTTATGTTCCTGCAAGCTGATGAAACGTCCAGAGTGGTACAGATAATAGTTTTATGTCAAGACATATTACATAGTATTTAATGTATAACAACTTAAATTCAGCTTTTAAGTAAAGCATGATATAATCTTGCTGTTTTCTTTGGCTGACTTAGCCCAGAGTTGGACATCTGAATGTTTATAGATCTTATATATTTATCAATTTTGAAGGAGTAACTTCATTAGAAATGGGAATTTAGGTTTTGGACTGGAAAGTCCTTTTATTCTCATTAGTGAGCAGCTGTCGTATTTATCTGAATAGCATGCTTAACCTTTTTCTGTTTTCTAAACCTAATGGTAGGCAGCAGTTAACAGGAATCGTGACGCTATAAAAGTTATTCAGTGCAGCATTAAAAATGGCTGTTTCCTTAAATTTTATCAGTACCAAATGTCCATGCTTGGAAGCTTTCTGTGAAATTAATAATCTGCATAGTAAAAATTTAAAAACAGACCAATGGAAGAGGGGTCTTACCAAAGCATAACTAAAACAGTGCTTTGAGAAACATAAAGAAATGCATAGAGTCTATATACTCCTAAATGATGACTTGATAACTTAATTTTGAATTAATTGAATTAATAAAAAAAGACCACCAGATATGATCTGTTTCACAAGGATTATATATTTTATTTTACTGTAGTCACTTCTTTCATGTGGTTCTTGAAGCTAGGAAACCTCACTCTTCTGTGTACTTCTGCAGTACGTAGCAAAATTATTATAGCTTCTAGTGGTTTTCTGGGGTATTAAAACTGCTGGTGTTCCTTTTATTTCAGTTTGAGTGTGTACATGCAAAACTTTACCTGTGGCTTTTTTTGTGAGTGTTTTTTTTTTCTTTTTAAGTAGATGGCTTTCCGATTATGAAGACTCGATCATCTCCCTTTGGAAGATTTTTGCAAATTCTATACTCCAGCTTGTTCCAGGATTGTACTGTATTTCTTGTTTAATTTATTTCAGCAGATCTTAATGAAAACTCATGTAGCATCACAGTATGATACGCAGTCTTATCCAAGAGAATATAACCTGAAGGTCAGTTTGAGGTGTTTTTCTGTTTATGCAGATATTAAATGATTCTTCCCAGTTTTGTTGTTCCCGGTAGTTGGTTCAGGCGTTTCAGCAGGTTTCTCTAAGGTAGAAAGATCACACTTCAGTGAAGCAAGACTTCTCTAATACCGGCAGGGCTTTTCTAGGCTAAAGTACACAACCCCCAGTTCTTTTGTGCCACTTAATTTTAGGCATGGTGGTAGCTGCTAAGATGTTAATAAATAGCCAACATGCTTGTGCTTTCCAGATAGTATTTTTCTGAGTAGTCTGTAGAAATTCGTGTATCCTTTGAACACCAGGGAGGTGCCGGGGAGGCAGCGAGGGCTTCATTCTAGAAAACCAGGCTTCGGTGCTGGCAGCGCTGCTGGACGTGGTTACATAAGTCGCGTGCTGCAGCAGCAGCGCTTGCTCGGGAGCAGAGTCATCTCCTGTCCATTTTTGACTCAAGCGTGTCGCAGACTGCAGAGCGGTGATACGGCCAAAGGCTTCCTTCAGGATGAAGCCTAGATTTTATCTTTTTTTTTTTTTTTTCCCCCCAGAACATGGCATTTTGTTGTCTCATATTCCACTTCTGTTGCTGCAAACAGAGGATGGGCTTCTAAATCCTCTTTTTGTGTTCCACGGCCTGGTGTAGTGCGAAGCACACCCTCCCCGAGACTTTTGGTTTGAGTTGATACAGGGGGGAGGAGGAAAGCTGGGAGTATCCAGTCTTTCACGTTTGTGTGTGTCGTTACTGTACAGAAGTCGTCTAGATTTTTAAATCCTCTTCTGGTAAACAAAGGGAAGGCAGCTTAGGTGTACGTGTCTGGTCAGGGGGTGAGGAGAATTATCCATGATTGACACGGACAGGCTCATGCTGTGATACTGCACGACAAGATCGTACGTTGCTGTTGTCCATCTCTCTCTCTTTGTTGTACTTTGTTCTAGATCCCGGCTGCATTTGCTGCTGAAAATAGCAGCCTTACTTACCTGTGAATAAAGGTTAAAATTCCTTCTTCAAAAAGTTGTGCCGGTGTTCTGCTGTTTTCGGATCTCATCCGTTCCTCTCCTCTTAGCAGAAGCACTGTAGGTAATGCTTTCAGAGCCCCAGCCTTGTCTTCGACAGCCAGTACTGTAAACTTGGTCCTGAAGCTGCAGGTGAGGCCTCACCTTTGGTTTCTTCCCTGTTCATATCAAGATGAAAGCAGGCGTAGGCTTTGTTCTACCACATTATTAATAGCAAATGCTGGCCTTCGTGTTCCCCAGACTTGATTCTGTAATTAGTCGGGTGTTATTAATAGTTTAGGATAGAACTGGCTTTCTGGCATGCAAGCTGTTTTGTTTCTGTTGGGAAAGCAGAAGCGGGTGTGATACGAAACACTGAAGTTAGCACACTGTGTTGTCAAGTTTTCCTGTTGTTCTTCTCCCTTTGAAATGGAGAGCTAACTTAAACTGTGAGAGAACCCATTTGGGGGGTGATGACCTCCCTGCGGCTGGAGCCCTCGCTCACTGGGACGATATGCTCCTAATGGCATATCCTAATCCCAAATGTGCTCCTGGAGAGCCCAAGCGGGCACGAATTCAGTTATCAGCTGCAGGTGGAGCTGTGCTAGCTCAGTAATGATTTTCCACTCAGTAAAAAAAAAAAAACAAACCCAACCCACAAAACATTTATTTTCCTCCTAAAATTGCATTACATTCTCTATGTTCATATTCAACACTGTAAAAAGAAAGGGAAGGTATGGTTTTTAGCCTCAGGCTAGAGAGAAATGCCTTCGGTGGCGATGGAGGGAGGGCTAAGGAAAACGCGTGAGAAAAAAGGATTTCTTGGTGCTTTCCTTCTGAACTCTTTCTGCTCCCTTTCCCGTGTCTCTGGGCTCCCCCCGCCCGTCCCACGGTGAGGAGCCGGAGACAACGCTGCCTTCCCGAGGCCGACGGGCTCAGCTGAAGCCCGCTGAAGTCGCCAGAGAGGTTACCTGCCGCC